TTCTAATAACAACTCCAACGGCCCCCAATTCCTTTCCGCGTATACCAAACCCCTCCCCTATTAGACCATACCATACGTACCGGGGGGGAGACTACTAGGAATACCTGACGCCTAATCATATGAATGAGCACGAATCTATTATCCGAATCAAATAATCCAAATACGAAATAAATATATACCACTTACGAACCTAGATACTAACCAACCACGAACCAGACAAGAATAATGAACTAATTCGCATTTTCAAAATATTATCCCCAAATTCCTTCCAGAATTCAATAATACATTTATTGCTATATCGATCATTAGTTCAATGAAATTTCTATTGAAATTGGAATGACAAAATCCAATCAACGGCTATCCCATAAAGAATCCTAAAAATTTTCAAATTTCAATTATATTTGCAAGAATTTCATTTATAATTTCAAAATCAAGATCCATAAATTCATTAAGAATTCTTCTTGTATATGAAATCATTTGTCTTTACAATCAGTACTGTTCTTCAATATTCCGTCATAAGTATGATATGTACGGCAGAAATTTATCAACATACTGTTGCTCGAATTAAGGTGTTAAGATGATAATATATATATATATATATATATATATATTTGTATATATGTATATATGTATATGTGTATATGTGTATATGTGTATGTATATGTATAGGTATAGGTATACGTATATGTATATGTATACCCAGATATTAAAATGAGTCTATACTTGAAGATACAAAATATATTTCAGTCATCGAAAGAAGAATTGAGTTCTTGCAGCCCCCTCGGGCTTTCTACTTTTGAGCAGTTCGCACTGCGAACTTGCAGCACCTGCTTCGAGCAAGCCTCATGTCATGCAGCTTGGATTTCACCTCAGGTGCTAACTACTTCGCGGACTGGCGAGCGAGACTTGGCAAACAATGTGCACTGCCCATTTGCCGATTCTGCTCATACAAAGGGAGCAGACTTGCTTTTCTTCTTTGTGGTGTCCTGACATTCTGAGAAAGCGTAGACGAGGCATCGCCTAGTTATGTCAACCAAGGGAATCCACCCTCATGACAAACAACATCCTGGCCTCAAGCAGACCATCCAACGGGAAATCATCCTCAGTGACAGTGCAGGCAGTTGGCAGCGTGCCTGCAAGAGCAATGCATCTTAATGTCTTGATTCTAAGACTCTAAGGTCGCTGCATCCCGACTTCTTCTTGGGCTGCGGCTTCGGGCACGGCCTCGATAGTCGGAAGGGGAACGGACTGCGTGTTGCATTGCCCCATCTGAGCTACAAGCCCTGGCCACTGCTTTGAGCACGATCCCTGAAAAGGAATCAGTTAGAGACTGCGGCACATGACAGCTGGAGGCACACTGTGCCTGGGCTCTGCTTCCTCGCGCTCGAACTCCACGGGCGCATTGCGTCGGGAGCTGGAGCTTGGACCATCGTCTGCATCAGCCGCTCCAGCAAAACTCCTGGTCCTGTCCAGGCATATCCAGCCATTGCATACAGAAAATGAAGCGAAGGCTGCCGGCATCGACCAGGAAACAGGGAAGCTGGGTGGCAGGACTTCATGCCCCCTGTCGAGCCAATGTGAGCCAGGCCTCCGCAGCTAAGGATTCAGCCTAATGCATAAGGTGTCAAATGGTCCCCTTCAAGGAGCCCCTGTGACTGGGCGTTGAAGTCTTTGCCAAGCTGCGACCCTCGTTTTGCTCCATCCGCTCTTTGTCAAACTTGTAGATCCCGGCCTGGCCTGAAATGCAACCAAAGATGAGCGAAGACAGAGAGGTCAGCCGAGCTGGTCAGCGGTCGTTTCTAAGCCAAGAGCTTCGGTCTGCGAAGAGGGGCTTATCATAAACGCTGACTTTCTCGTCGTTGCCCCCTGAGAATCCACTGTCCTGCGCATGTTATTTCAGATCTGCGGGGTCTCTTCCTATGTAGCTCGAAAAGCCGATGAAAAGGAACATGAGCATCGAGCTGAGGTTGTGACCATGCCAGCCGACTGGTTGAAGAGACGCTGATCGAACATGGCTTCCGAGCTTGTAGGCTGGGCGGCCTGCAACACAAGGCACCAAAGAAGGTGCTGCGGCCTGTGAACTGTGGTGCCTTCGATCCTTCAACTGTCATACTGCTTGAAGTTTCGTGAATGGCTACAACAAGACTATGACGAGTTTGAAACAACTGCAGTTGGAATGCTTCTTTGAATAACATCCTGGTCCCAGCCTGTCCCAGGGCGATGCGCTCGGAGACGTCGCGATCCTCCTCTCGGCCTCGTTTGTTCTTCTTGCCTGCAAGCGTTTCGCAGATTCCATGGGCTTTCAGATTCGGGAGTTGGGAGGACGATTGCGTCGAACGACGGTGGAGAGGCTCGGTTTGCCTTTCTTTCAAACTCATAGCTGGGCCTGCCAGTTCCAAACGCTGGTCTCTCTCAATTTCCTTTTGCCGATCTTTCAGCACCTGAGAACATGACTTGTGTTGTCTAGCGAAAGGCCTCGTTTCTTGATTTTTCATGAAAGCAGCATGCCTCCATGCGCTGTCGCCTTTCCTCAGCTTCTTTGGTGTCCTCCCCGTCCTTAACCGGCCTGGGTGCTCAAACATCTTTTCGATTCGTCAGAGCTTTCGATGTCGATTCTGTGTGAGATCTGAGTCGCTGACGCCGACGCAAGCTCTGCACGCTGTTGCCGTGCCTGGCACAGGAGCAATGAATAGTGTACAAGAGCAGTTGTGAAGACAAGAAGACGACGTCCACGCCTTCGCGGCCAAGTCTCTGAGCTGCTGCTCGCGAATCTCCTCCTCACGAACCTTGTACATTCGTTAGGGTTTATTCATGTGGGACCGGCTCCCTATCTGTCCCAGCCTTCTTCTGTCGGATCAGATCGTTTCTGATCTTGATCTCTTCTCTCGCTTTACGCTCAGCAAGGTACCTGTGCCAAGACTCAGAAGTTGCATCGCACTTGGTCTGAAAGCTCTGGACGAAGATACAGTTTAACACCCATCGTTCGGCACAAATCCTCACTGATCGCCGCAAACTTGTCGTTCACTGCAACGTCCTCTGCTCAGTGGGAAACGCTCAATGCGACAGCCACCACATAGGCACCCATGTGCATACGTACAGGAACACAGTCATCCGATTCGTTTTGCAAGAAGATGTCACATTAGGTTCGATCAGATATGAGGTATGTTATAGGTTTTTCTGTCTATGTGTAAGCAGACTCAGTCTCAAACTCAGAGCCTGAAGTTCGGGTTCGAGCTCGGGGGTCATCAAATGATCAGATGTCCATGGGCGTCAGCCCACCTTCATGGTGAAAGAGGGGCCCAGCAAATTAAGGTTCAACTATGAGAGAAAGGAATCCCTCGACACCTGCTCCGTTCTTGACTCTTGAAGTTCCCACACAAACCTGGGCCATTTCGTATGTGCTGTCCTGCAAGCTTCGTCCGTCTGCGGAGAGTCGCTTGTCCAGGGGGATCGTGTAACCCTGGCATGATGTCAAACATGTCCCCTGCCCAAGGCTTCCGACTTCCTTTGCTCAAAAGCAGCCTTCGCGTTCTTCCAATTGGAGATGCAGGGCGGGATCTTCCAATCCTTCTGGTCCTCGAACAGGTGCTAGTGGCACAAATCCGAACACCAATGAAAACATGCTCACTTCCTTGGCGGTCAGCTTGCGTGGCGGCGAGTGATGAACTGGTGGTGGGGGAGAAGGCGGTCCACGAGGAACCTCGGCGACTCATGGTCGGACATGCCGCACTGAAAAGCTCTGTGCGAGGCTGCGCAAGCGCAAGCGGCCTTCTTGTGCTTGAACTTCGGAGGTGCGAAAGGATCCACTGGTCGCTCCACGAGCTTGATGACACGCTCCTGATCGAAAAAGCAAGCAGGGTCCAGGACCTTGCTCCGTCTGACTTTGAGGCAGAGGTGCGCGGCAGTTGGGGGTGTAGCCAGGCCTCGGCATACCAGGCGAGAAGCAATTCGTCGGAACGGCCGCAACAAACCTTGTCTCTGGGTTGCTTACGCGTTCGGGTTCGGAGTGTACCGGATGAACTCGGCTTCCTGACCGCAGAAACTGAAAATCAAAGCACACACTGCAGGTCCGCTCCGGCAGACTCTCGTGTCAGGCAGAAGAGGGATGCTAGTGAAAGTGTCCTTCTGCTCCTGCTTCTTTGGCCTGGCGCAAAGCGGTACGGCTGGCTAGTGGTATCTGGGCAGTGAGCGAGAACAGTAGCATGTAATGTAAACTGAAGAGCCTCAACCAAGAGTCTGGATAACAGAGGCAGGCATAACAAGGACGATGACGGTTGCTACTGCCATCGCAGTCAGCGCAGCGTCTCCTCATACCCTCACCACTCCCACTGCTGCCGTCTTGGAGCCCAAGAAAACATTACACATCAAGACTGTGGGAGTACACGAACGCGAAAGTAAACATACACATAAACAGAATGCTCTCACCACAGGCATTTGGTTAACATGTAGCAGCAAAACTACTGATTAAACCTGGATTCTGCTTGCACTTCGCTTGCCATCAAGGTACACTCCCGCTTGGATTTTGCCATTGAGCGCCATTTCCAAAGCCTGGCACAGGACAGCTTGTGTCATCGCTAGGCGTTTGTAAAGCCCTATCATCACGAAGAGCTCCTGTCGAAGGAAGTCCTGCACCTGTCTGGAACCAAGCACTCCCCCAACTTATTCCAGCTCCTAAACTGGAAATGCAAACGAAATAACTCCATGAACATTAATCGCGAGCACAAACGAAACCAAACGACCCTGAAGTTTCATGGTTCGAGTATTTCGAGAATCTGTTGCAACATCAAGACAAGCCCGAAATCACCTGGGATACCTGAGCCTCTCAAGCGCATGATTCAACGCCTTCTGCGTCCGTTCCGTGTTGAGGATGTCGATTTCCAGCGAGGGCCTCTCCAGCTCCTGCAACGATCTGAAGCGCAGCGTAGCTCGGGGTCAGTGAGGGTCCCCGTGAGCCTAGATAGGGGTCAGTGAGGGTCGCCGTGAGCCACGCTGTTCCTGTTGTTTGGACAAGTCTTCTTAATCTATCACTTCAGGATCAAAACCCTGCTCGAAATCGGCTCACTTTCCGGCAAAGAACCCCATGAAGCTTTAACATCAATAAAGATCCTGAGCCCGCCCTCATGAAACCGCACGAGATTCTTGCCAAGCAAAGCAAACACCCAAAAATGAGCCCAATCTCCGGAGCAGGTCCTCGGGCTTCGACCATTTCTCTCGGGAGTCTTCTGGCCGCGTCCACACAGCCAGCTTGTCCTTGGCAGTGACGAACTCTGCATGGTTTGGAGGAGCGTGATTTCATGCCTGGCTTGGGACTATGAAGGAGTTTTCGCTTCAATAACCTTGTGTGACTCCGCATTGAAAAGGCTTCATGAGCTTTTAACAGTGCATCGACCCGAGGTCCTCAATCGTCAGACTGAAAACAGTGCTAATATGTCGTCGTTCTTGAATCTATCTGGCATCTCAGCATGCACCGCACACTTGTGGTTGGACATTCCTATCATTCAGTCAGTCTGTCGTTTGCCGCTGTCTCCTCTTGTGCGTCCGCATAAACTTTTCGGTGCTTACTAGACTGTGACTCATACAGTCTCTGATGATACAGGCAGGAACGTGAATGTCTTCGTGTGTGGACTTACGTGTGTTTGTATGTCGACATGGTACACTTCGACATGCCTGCCTCCAACGACCCAACCGTGTTCTTAGGTACTACTGTACGCCACACTGCCACGGCATGGAACCGGCGTTTGCACCTATGTGTTTCCTGATGATTTGAGTCGCCGGCCGACTTGTGCTTGATCACGGCATCCCACGCGATCTTACCGGTGTTGTCGGTTTGCAGGGCGACCACCTTGAAGTGTGAATTGTGCTGCTTCAATGGCTAAGGCTCACATCCGACAACCTCAAGCCGCAATTCTCGCCACCCTGCACAAAAAATCCTCGAGCCTTTCAGCCCGAGACGACTGACTCAAGCACATCCCCGGCTGCGAAGCACCTGCTGGTGCGTCTTGCCAGCTTTGCCTATGTCCAGTGGATACCTGCAGCTTGGGCAGTTTCAATGAAGTTTACAGGAATGCTTAGCTGCATTAACTTATAGATGCACATCTATATACATATGTACATATATGCATCCATCTACCTATCCATCCATACATCCATCCATGCATATATATGTATATACCTATACATGTACCTATATGGAACATATGAATGTTGCACTTTTGAAGTTGCTTATACTATTTTGTAATGAGGAAGCCTTCACACTTCACACTGAGTTCTGTCCTCAAGCAACCATGAGCCTACGAGAAGCTTGAGCCCCCTGGGATGGTGGCTGGGCCATGTGGATCTCGGGAAAGGCTCCGCCATCTCCGAAGTCGGCTAAGCTTCTGGGGGTCCAGCCTTCCGGAGCGTTTTGTCTTATGACGTTTAGGGTTTACCAGCATGATCCAACCGAGTGGTTTGCAGCAAAGAGGAAACCTCAGGGAACCCCGGTGTCAAGTTTGAGATGCATGGGACGAGACACTTCGGGACTTGTGCAACCCATACTTTCTGAGGGGATATTGAGCTGGTTTCTGTAGTTGGACACCACATGAGTCCGATGAAATGTCGCATATTCGTATTCTGGCCTTTCCGCCGTCCGTATGGGGGCGGACCACGACTAGCTGCAACCTCGCACTAGGTGATGCAACTTTCTCAAATGGTGACCGAGCTATCATGTCCCGAATGTGAATGCCGTGAAACGCGTTTCCGCAAAGATAGCCTGAGCCACGGACAATGGCAGTTTCAGTGGTTGTCGAGGCTTTGAACGATCCCACTGTAGCATCGGCCACCTGCCAGCAAGTACGAACGTCCACTGAAACGCGCAGGGCAGGAAGTGGCAGGAATTTAGTTTACGCTCACGATCCGCATCATATCACGGACCTCTAAGCTCTGCCGTGGCTGGGGCAGGCGTCTTAACCTCCGTGTCAAAATCATGCCGTGAGATTGCCAAGCATGTCTCGTTGGCACTTGATCAGCTCAGGCAAAAGCAACTCGGCCATGAAGCCAGAGCCTCAGAAAATCAAGAAGCGAGGAACGTTTGATAGATGAACAAATGCTCAAGTGCACACGAAAGCTTCACCGAGGCGAGGGCTGATGCTGGACGTGCCAGCGGGAAATTGGGAGTGAAACGCGTCCTATCACATTTGAACCAGCAGATGTAAGACTGCAGGCAGCCACTGCTTTACTGCTGTCCTGCACAGTCTATGCACGCTCTGAACAGGTTGCGAATCGCTTGTCATCAAATCATGACGTTAAGGTCCGGCCCTGTTTCGGAAAGGCTCTTACACTGTTGGCGTTATTCGCGAAGTTTATTTTTACTTCAGCAAATGCATGCCTCTCTGTACACATAGATTCAGTTGCTTTAATTAAAGCACGTGCAAGTGCAAGCCGGGCAAGTAATGACCGCAGCAAGTTCCGTCGGTACCTCGGTAGAACTGGAATCAGCCTCTTTCTTGATGCAGTCATGTGCCGGCTTGCAGTGGGCTTTGCGAATTTGGCATGCCAACGTGCAGGTGGTTCACAAAGGCAGGAACATTATTGAAAGCCACTGCATTAAACGCGTAAACCGGACAAACCCGCCACGAGCCTATGCTGCAAGTCTGTCCGAGTGACTAAAGTCTTTTCTAATTCTACCTAAGCTTCCACAGGCTTGGTCTCAGATGAATTCATCTCCGCAGATACCGACTTGAGACTTGAACGAGCAGGGGTGGGCACTTGCGTTGTCAACCTTAGCAGGGATCTTGCAACAGTCGCGACGTGTGATGCCCAAAGGCAGAGTATTCCCCGAAGTGCGTCGACATGTCAGCATTTACGACTGCATGTTATTTGCCGTTCGTGGTGAGGTGTGCAAAGTCTGAAGTGTTCGGATTAACTAGGACGGCTTGGAGCTCATTTTTGCAAGTCTCGACTTAAACTCACAATGACTGCTAAAGTTGTACTATCCATCAATTGCTTGCATCCGCAGGAAATACGAAAAGCCGTGAAGAGGATCTGGGGTGCAGTGGGTCGCCTGTGGACAACACGACCCCGATGAAGATGACTCCACCTCCCTTGCTGCAAGAGAAGATTGTTGGGGCTACGGCATTTTTTGCTCTCCTGCTTGCACTTTGGACGTTAAGCTTGCACGGCAGACTGTAACTTCTCGTAGAACTTTGCCGCAAGAAATGCAAAACCTGCTTGTTCCGATGGACCGCCGCATGCTCTGTAGTAGACATCCGCAAGCAACGTCTAGCGGCCATAGCGAGCTCCCAGAGCCAGAGCCCACGTGCTGTCGCAAAATCTGGCCGCAAGGCCCAAATAGGTCCCACACACATGGGCCAGTGTCACAGCATGTGACGGCGAGGAGGCTTCGTGTAGTGAATCCTGCACCACGCGCATGAACAATCGACCCACGGCAGCTTGGAAACTCTTTTCCAAGGCTGCGTTTCTCTCCATGTAGCTCTTCGAAGTACAAAGGGTATTGGACGGGGCCGAAGGAGGCAACCTTGTGGCATATATGTAAAGACCACACAAAGAACCAAGCAATGTTGCTCTCAAAAGATGTCCGTTTCTGTGCCAATTATCCCGGAGAGCTGCCTCTCGGGTGCCCTGGAGCTGATCTTCGGGGCTGACTGCACGTTTGGCGATGTCCTGGAAACAGCAGCAAGCCCGCGCTTCAACTGTGGCTCTGCAACCCTGGCAGCTGCAGGCCCTTCCGTGACTACTGTGTACCGAGCTTGCACTCGATCGCAGCATTCGACAGTCCTTGTTCAGCCGGTTTCGGATGTCGTCCTCGTCCTAAGAGGGAGCCCACAGTGTTAGTGTTGCAAGACTTGCGCGCACTAACTTCTTAATCCACCGAAGCGGCAAAACCGTGAAAGCTGAGCAGCAAGTCAGTACTCGGCCCGATCAGAATACGTAAGGTGGCAAGTAGAGTTGTATGAATTTTTGTTTCTTACTCTAGCTGGCCAGATCCTACTTCGAACCGCAATGAAACGACCTGCATACTTGTGGTTTAACCTTTGCGGGACTTCATGCCCAAACTGGAAAACAAGAGCCCGGCACTCGAGGTTGAAATGTTTCCCAGGCTCGGCCGACCACCGCCTGACCACGAACCGGAGCAACAATATGTGAAATCTACGACCATAAAATCAATAGCATCTGAAGGGACCAGGATGTTCAGGAAGTAGCTCGAAACTCAAGAGAATTCTTGCCCTGCCCTACACTAATCTTGTCGCCTCCTTCTTTCGGAGTGTCGTCGCACCTTCGGGAAGGAACTCACTGCAGCTCTTGAAAACATCAATTCCTGAGACCTGGACGGAGGTCGCAGGAGCAAGAGGGGGCTTTCCACCTCCGGGACCTGCCAAGGGATAATGTCAGTATGTGTAACAACAAGAACCGAGTTCACAACAGCAGGTCCACATGGTATTGATGATCACAAACTGCTGAAATTGACAGTGACACTGAACGCCAGTGATAATGCTGCTCGATCATCATGGCCACGTTGATAGGAACAATAACAGAAACAGTGATATACAGTGATGCTGACGACAATAACGGCACTGAGAACATAGAGACACCATAATTAGTCTTCATCCTCGTAGTGAGAATGTCCAACAAATATGAAACTACCTACGTTGCACTGTCAGAACAGGGCGCGACCTCCAAATTCGGATGAAGCGACACAGCCTTGCTTGGCCGGACTTATTTCGTCATGTACAGAATGCATTCGACTATAACCATAAACTGTGAGGACTGCGATACGATTACCATGCCAAATACGACACATGGCCGGGTAAGGGCTCGATAGAGCACTATTGATCTTCTAGGTCCTGGTACCAGTCGTATGTAATTAGGGTTCTGTTCCGAGGCGGTCGTGGATCAGAGCCTTCGAAATAGGGAGAGCTGGCGAGGGGCACTGGAAAGCTGTGGGGTCTCGATGGGCCACAATGCGACAGCTAAATGTTGCCGGAAGCAAATGCCATTCGCGGCCTAGGAGTTCTATGTCGATGCAGACGATGTCTCGAAGTTGATGTGCTACTGGTGAAGCCATCGATTCTGATCCATAATCGCGTGCACCCGCGCTTCTTGGTGCTGAAAAGGCATGTAAGCCGGCTTCAGGGCTCATCAGCCTGGAAGGTTCCATTTCCCCGGATGCCTTTCACGCACGCCCCGGCAAACCAAGACTCTCCTAAATTCCTTTCCAAGGCAACGGCTGTTCGAGGTGTCACCATCTCAAGCACATACCTCTGGCAACTACGACGCTGAAAGCATTTTGCAAAGGAACCTTGGATTCGTCTGTTCCTCTGCCTAGTTGGTGTTCGTGGCTTTGAGAATACGTGAATCAATGGTCAGGGGGAACAGTTGGGTGAGCGGACGAATCCGAACGTCTCCAGCTGCTTACTAGCAAGGGCTGGTTTGCACGATAAACCATGAAATAGTTTCGATGTCACGCTTTGCTGAAGCCTGTCACCCAACATTTACATTTTGGGCTGTATCATCCGACTCGAAGTTTTGGAAGAACGGCAAATGCAACAAAACAGATTCGTTGATCCACGTGCTGGTGGGCACAAGCTTCGAGATTCTCGTCGCCGGCTCCCAAATGCATCCTGAAGCCGGGTCTTGCTTCAGCGTGCCTCTTCGCTAGAAGCTGGGGACGGAACCACAGGGCCAGGGCCAGCAGGATCAGGAGCACGGCCACGAGCAGAAGCCGGTGCCATGACCTGTGTTGCACAAGAGGCTTTCGGCTTGAGGGCGGATTTCCCTTCGGACGTTTCGAGGCCTCCGAAGAACACCACCAAGCCTTCCCAATAACAAGCGACAGTTCCAGCAGTTTTCTCTGAGGATTGAATTCTGAGATCAGGGCCACCGGGGGTCTCCCTCTAGGAGTTTGAGGAACGGTAGCACCTCAAAGAATCCAAGCACAAGGAAGCTGCAGTTGCCTGGAAGCTTTCTTCTGTGGGATCGGCTGGCTTCCATACCTTCTGAAGAGGGCAGACAACTCCGTGCTTCCCGACCGTGCAACTCTGGCCTTCAAGTACAGAGGTGGCCATATGCTTGGAGACAAGAGTCAAGTCCAGCTTGAGCAAGTACTCCTCCAGTGACATGCAGTCCTTCTTCAATGAAGTGGTGCTGATATGTACTGAGCTCAGGGCATGTTGCGGCTTGGCTTGCTGACTGCAATGCCTCTAGAGCAAGTCCGCCGCAGCGAGCATGCATCGGTCTTTCAGCAGGCCTGCTGCAGTGGGCCTCGTCAGTCTCGCCTGGAGTAGAAGGCGAGACTGTGCAAAGGCTCCCATTCATCGATCCAGCAGCTGAGGCGAAGCTGGGATCCGGGCTGTCCTCCTCGCTGCATGATGTGCTTGTGCTGCCTGATTCTGTTCACTTAGATCGATGTTCAGCATCTGAACCCGAGTCCTGCCTTCGGATTCTTCAAGGTGCGGCCGCAGCATCTAGCAAACGAGCTCGAACAAGAAGATACTGATAGCTACAGGCCACTTGTCCGCCTGCTTGGTCACCGTTTGTGCTTGGCACCTCGCATCTGAAGGCCTCAAGTACAAGCAGGTGTCACAAGAAGTCGACAGGACAACAAGCAGAGGAAGCAAGACGCCAGTAGGTCGGCGCTGGACTCAAGCTGCACAGCTTCGATCTTTGAGCACGTGCCGACTCTCAATGTATGCGACTCTCGGTTGTTGTTCCGTACCCAGATCTTGTGTCCACTTGAGCGATTGAACTCATGGACGAACTTCGACTTCTTGCTTCAACATCGTCTGACAAGACATTCCCGCAGATGGGAGCTATTGCAAGGAAAACTTGCGCACAGCTCCTCAATCAAATCTATCGAATCTCTCCTGAACGAAGGCAAAGCAGATCAGCCAGGCCAAAGCATCCCGGAAATTGCCTCGGCTTGGCTCCCAGCTCACAGGCCGGCTCCCTCGGTGCGCTGGGACGGGGATGCGCCTTTGCAGGGCGACAGGGCGACGCTGCAAGCTGAGTTGGGTTTCGGCACCTCGCCTCTGCTTGCGTCCCCGTGTGTCCTGTCATTTCGTATCTGGAGGCTCTTGGAGACGTGTGCTAGCTGCCAGCTGGCCTCCCCGAACACCGCGAAGCAGCGCATTCGCAGATGCGGCCTGCGCGGTTCTGCAGACTCCCTGCCTCCCTGCACAAGGTTGAAAGCTCTCTGCCTGCACCGGGGAGAGTCTCACCGGGCGAAGGAGTCTGGACCCGCGAAGGCGCCTCAGAATCTGGAGAGCTACCAGGAGGATGGGCGCTTTCGATGTGGCTATGCAGTTCAGAGGCTGAATGCAAACCCGCGCTGTTGGCCCAGGAAGCTTCGCGTTTCCATCCTCCAGGCTAGGTCGCTTGGTGGCGTTACTCGGTTTCGACAGGCTCTTGCAGGGTTCTGTAGCAGTGTCCATATTAGGATGACTGTACTGATCAAGGAAGTTTCCCCCGCCAGTCTCCAAGACACGGGAACAATGCAGCTGCTCACAACTCCATCACTTGGAAAGCCTCCTTCACAGCAAGTGGCTATCCCTCGTCCCTGCCAGAACCGGCCAGCCCTGAAAAGATGTAAGAAACCGCTGCAAAATCTTTGGAATCTAACATAGGGGCTTTGGGCCCATTCTACCATAGGTGTGCAACATTTATAATCAGGAACCCCCAAGATAGTATAGGGAAGTATTAAGGCCTCTATAGTACTGCGATCCTCAGTCTTCTGCTCTTTCCAGGCCTCCCCGGGCTCGGGGGCCGGTCGCCTTGTCCGACTAGGTGAGCCTTCTGACATGTGGCAATACTGAAACGGATTAGGGGGGCTAATATCAAAGGCTATCAGTAGAAGCTACGGCTTCCACGTTCTTCGAATCGGGTCCCCATACTCTTCACCGAAATCTGAGTCGTAACCTACTTAGTGAGCCCTCTCATCCATCCTTTCAGTACACGCAGCACCCAGCTGGACCTACCCACACTCCTGAGTTAAACTAAGAGCGACAATAACAGCTACCACGACAAGAACAAAACGACTACATGAGAGCAACAATCATTTCGACTGTCTGTGGGGCCGCTGTAGGGTCTGCGATGCTGCGAAGCGAGTGAAGTTCTGCAAGCCGATGCCTTGAGCTTGTCCGTCGAAGTGGGCCTCAGGCTTGGTCTGGGTGTCTCAATGCAAAACCATGGGAGCATAAGAACAGCCAAATGGATTGTGTTGATGCACGAGAAATTCGCTTGCTCCTACTGGGCCTACCGCTGGTGAGCACCTATCATAGAACCCTTGAAACGGCGTTCCATTCGTGCAGAGCAGGCGCAGGCGCAGCCTCAGACCACTAGTCAATAACGCGGCGGTTGATGCAGCTTCCATCTTGTTTCAATGGTTCCTGAGCCATACTATAACTGTACCGTCACTGAGACTTTTCAACTCCCTTGATCGTAAATCGAAAACTGGCCGAAAAAGGGTGTCACATTCGCGTCTTCCGTCGCAGAGCCAACATGAAAGGAACTGAAGCTTCTAGTGAAAGGTCCGACATCTTGCTTCGCATGGAGTTTATCTTCAAGGTTCAGTGAGCATCTGCCGACCTGAGCCACAGAGCAAGGGTTCCGGACTCAGGGCTCAGGGGGTAATTGAAGGCCGGGTTCTACGGCCTAGGGACCGAGGTCAGCCTACTGGGCATCGAAGCCCACACCCAACAACCTTCCAGGCTCCGAGCCTGCAGCCAACGGAAATCACCGAATCTTGCGGTTTGTAGTCCAACCTGCCTTCTTTCGTGCGGGTGTCGCGAGCGAGCTAAGTAGTCGTAAATGCTCGCCCTTGTATTAGCCAGAGACGAAGATTTGCAGAACAACCTTTACAGTATCTAGGCACCCGACGCCTGCGCAGGTGTCGGCAGATGTAGCTCTGGCTCTCGGAAGAGTTGCATGTGTCCTCGCAGGCCCAAACAAGCTGGATGGAATGTCATGTGAGTCATAGGTGTTCGCAGGTCCTGAGGGCTGTAGTAGGCGCTCTTGTGCCTCAGCGGAAGCAACAGTGCCCAAGTGTGGCCAGGCTGTCAGACAGCGTCAAGACAAAATCGCAGCGACATGAGGGCCGAGGGCTTGTCTTGAAAGCATCGACTTCCCGCTCCTAACACCACACTAACAACTAATTACTTTCCCTGAGTACAACTGGTCGCGGCTGTGCCTCGTAGCCTGCAGCTTACATAGTGGCGACTGCCTGATGCTTCACCACTACGAATCATGTCTCTGTGTGAAGTGGACACCGAGTGAAGTGCGAGCCACTGCAAGTTGTGACTTCGGCCGGCCCACCTCGCGAAGACCAGACCAGAACCCACACGGAAGAGCAAAGCTTCCCAACCTCTTGTCAGCGTCCTTTCTTGCTTCGTCCTCGAGCCCCGTGGTCAATATCGTAATGCAACGGGCTAGATGGCTCCATCGTGAAGCTGCAATCCTCGGCCAATCTTTGAAGCTTCGGATCTTCGCCGATTTGCGAGCCTCCCGCTGTGCTGCTATGGGATCCGGGTGATGGAACGAAACCTAGTGATGGAGCACATAAGGCACTCACGGCTGTGATCGCCCGCCCGCACTTCCACTCCCATCAAACAGCCCCCACAGCCTCATCCACCAAAGAAGCTCTGCGCACTGAACGCCAGGCGTTCGAGGACCTCCACCCGCATGGTGATAGAGGTACGGTCGGCTCATCAAGTGATCTTGAATTCAAAGGTTCGGCTGGGAAGCGGGCTTTAGAGCTCCTGCTTGCCGGCCCAACTGCAGGTCAGGTCGGCATGGAATCGATTGCAGAACCCTCGGACAACTGCAAGCCTCAAGGATTGTTGCATCCTTCCGGCGAAGGTCGAGCTTCATGTTGGTGATCTCTTGAAGGACCTTTCTCTTAGAGGCCCGGTTCCGGGTATGATTCAGTGCTACGTTCTGTCAGGATACTGCCTTATTCCCTTTCTGCTGTCGCATAATATGAAACATAATACACAATCTATACTGTATGCTTCTGGATCACAACTGGAATGCATATTCACTGCTGGCAGCACAGCCATGATTCTGAAGGCCATTGCCGTCACTATTGCTTTTGCCACAGTTTTCTCCTTGCCCGGACCCGATTCGCACGGGGCCTCGCTGGTCTGCTTCTTCAGCCTGTAAAGCTCTGCCTCGACCCGAGGCAAGGGATGGCAAAGGATCCTGGTAGGATCTAAGGCCTTCTGAAGCTAAGCCAAGTGCTCGAAGCTCACTGCACTCCTGTCTCACACTTGCGGGGACGCAACTCCCTCGACTCATTCGTCGGAGCCATGCCGTCCTCGTGCTCGGGAATGCCTCGGATCCCGGATCCGTCCCCAAAAACTTCGGGGCTCCGTGCGCACTCTCAGGCCTGGGCGCGTCTCTACATCAGGCAGCTGCGTCAAGAAGCATTGCAACCGCTGCCCGAACCTGAATCTGAAAGCATGCGGTCCGACCCCAAGCAACGCGAACCACGACGCTGCAAGCGTATGTGCGCTGCCCCCTTCAAGAAGCGATGCCGACGCAAAACATACGTCTAGCTAAGCTGAATTGACCCGGGCGGCGATGTTTGCAGGGCATCAGCTTGCTCGCCTGCATCGGGCCTTGGGTCTCAACACGTCACAGAACTTTTGCTCATTCTTTGCTACTTTCTTCTTCTTGTCTCTTCTTCCGCAGGGCATAGGGGACGAGTTAAGTTCCCCGGCCACCAGGGCCCCCCAGGTCTCTGAGGCTTTGGGAGGATGTGAAAGTTCACTGTGATATGTGTCCTGACAGAAGGGTATTTCGTTTCTCTCTCTTTGTCTCTCTTTCTCTCTCCCTCCCTCCGTCCTTCCCTTCCTCTCTGTCGCCAAAGCAAACATGGGAGTTTCCGAAAGCAAGGGATCTGCCATAAAGACTAAGTTGTGGGATCCTGCCTGTCTCCATGTTCCACCAACAAGTCGACCCCGAACCTTCAGAAACTACCATGCCGTGGGTCGCATGGGTCTTACAGATCCCGACCTCAGCACCATGGCAGCAGGGCCGAGCCAGCAAAAAACAAACTCGTCGTGGGAATTGGGGAGTTTGGGGTTCGGATGGGTTCGCGATGTTAGGCTGCAGGGCTGAGGGGATGTCGGTGTCCGTGTCGGCTTTGGCGCCCGATCCGAGCTCTCCTATGCATGCCCCGAAGAATCGGAATTCAAAATCCTGTAAGCCTGAACACGTCACAATCGAGACGAGGGAACAGGTGTCCACTAGGGTCAAGCTGGTTACAACGGCCACTGCCGTCGCCGTCAGCAGCACAAGAATCATGCTACCCAGCAATCACACAATCATAGTTGCAGGCAGCAGAAGCCCGCAGTTTGCCAACCTAAGCTTCGACCTGGAGCTTCTCTAGCTGATTTAAGCAGGAGTGGCTAGCTGTCGCCCGGTACTCCGGGAGTATCTTCCTACTTAGCCTACTTCTTTTGGAGTCATGAGGCTCTTTCGTTCGCGGGATTGTTGGAGCAACCCTCTGCCAGGAAAGTGCAGCTCCTTTTCAAGCGTCGCCCTTGCACCCTGCCCCCTGTCGATGCGTGAGGCGAATTCTCGACACCCACGCACCGGACCTTTGTGCGGGTCTGACATCCAAAGTCTGGAAAGCGTGCCCATCCGGCCCGCCAGGACAGGACTGAAGCAGAAAGAAGCGACAAATTAAGCAAAGGTACACTTTGAGTTCCGATGGTCGGATTAAGGCTGCGAGTAAATGCTTTCAGCCGAGACCTTGGCAGACTTGGCACCCCTTGAGGGTACCAACAAAACAATTGGCTGCTTAGTCTTCTGGAACGAGCAGGCACCCAAACCTGCTGTCTTCGGCATGTTCAACTCTTATATTGACTCCGTTCTGTTCTGAGGAAGGCGAAGTTCGGCCTTTGATATCTGTGACATCCCGAACCGCTGCAACACTATGCCATGCGGTGAGAAGCCGATAAACGTGCCAGTACTCGGGCTTTCGTTACTCTAAATCCAAGGCCTTCCAACCGTGTGAGGCACAGTGGCGATCTTCAGTTGCCTGTCTCTCCGGGAAGCGTCATCTCCCTGGGCACGGCCGATTGCTACCGTAGCTGAGAGCGAATACTGGAGAATGACAGAGAAGACTCATCGCCGCAACCAGCTGCCTGGTCATCTACGACAAACACAGCAACTGTGACTATGACTACGACGACGACGCACCACTACCAGGCTACCAGTGCGACGACGATAATGACTACTGCTGCTGCTTCTGCAGTTGCTGAAACAAGACCAACGCGAAGAATAACAGTAACACTAATCACAAGAACCACTGCACACACTGCTCCTGCTACCGCTGCCGCTGCTGCTACTTCTACTTCTACTGCCGCTACTGCTGATGCAGTACTGGTCCTCCTACTCCGACTCCTACTCCTGCTCCTACTACTGCTACTAGTACTAGTACTAGTGCTGCAAGAGTGCTAGTACTAGTCTTGGTACTAGTACTAGTACTAGTACTAGTACTAGTACTACTACTGCTACTACTACTGCTACTTCTACTTCTACTACTTCTACTGCTTCTACTGCTTCTACTGCTACTGCTACTGCTACTGCTACTGCTACAGCTACAGCTACTACTACTACTACTACTGCTGCTGCTGCTGCTACTACTACTACTACTACTACTACAGTACGACTACTGCCAGAACTACCCGCAGTTATTTTGGACCTGCGCCAACCTACTTGCCAACCCTCATTTTCCAAGTGCTGCCGCCTCACTACTGGTGCCGTTGATGCCGGTGCTGCTACTGCTTGTGCTGCAACCATAGCACTTCTACTACTGCTCTACTGCTTCCCTTGTTGGAAGCACCACTGCAACGACGACTTCTGCACGAGTTTCCGCCAAAGGCAGTGCACAACTTAGGGCCGATCTGATCCGCGGTGTACACACTGGCTTTGGAAGCCGAGCGATTCGTCCTTGGTTCGGACACCGCAACATCATGCTTTGTGAGTCATGCTGTGAGCATCACTTCTGTGTTGCTATGATGATGACATTGGCCTGGTTCGCGGCGTTAACAGCCTAAGCTAATGAGCTAGGTGCCGTCTTTGCTTGTGCTTTTCAAGCTCCGCCTTCATTTATCGATGGAGTTCGACGTGTACACTCCTGCATGACTGAGGCTACCAGAGAAGTCAATGACACATGAGGCTCTCAAATAATCGTGGACCAGAGTCTTACAAGAGTCTTACACGAGGATTGCCCATATTGCTTTGTACCAAGGCGGGATGCTATTTCTCTTGCTTGTGCTACTGCAATGTGAGGCTTCCTCGCAGCGGCTTGCAAAAGCAGCCCTTGTAGATGCAGCCATGCAAGCGTGCCACAGAAGCAGTCACAGAACGGTGTGCTCTAACAATCTCGATGCCGCAGCTGGGGATCCGGCACCCGTTGCATGGTCAGTTTGACTACATCCTGCCGAGAGATATCAGTACTGTTCTCGATGTCTTGTAAACATATGCCCGGCAAATACGATCGGCAGCACATCCCGTAGCTGCAAGAACAGATACGTTTTCTGCGACTGTGATTCTTTCTCAATTTCTTGTGGTGCGAACTTCTAACACTGCACTCCAGCACCAAGCCTCCAAGCTCACTGCAGTTTCAATTCTCCACTTGCCAGAAGCTCTTCCGTTCTTGTCCTCGGCCGAGGAAATCGCCTCTTGCAGGGGCATCCGCTTGCCCTGCCATGTTCTTCAGAGAAACGGCGTTTGCACACGAGAGCTGCAGCAGATTCCGGTCCTGATTAAAGAACCCGCAGAATAAATCCATGCCGGTGTCATTGATGCCACTCCGAGTCCATCTGGACTCCGGTTGTGACCTCAGCCCTCAAGATTTTGTTTGCGGTGCCAGACCGAGTCAGCCACTGCAGCATGACAGAACCATCATCATCATCATCTTCATCATCATCATCATTACCATCGGCATAAACATCATACATCACCCATCATCACCATCTGGATTAGGATCATCATGTCGTACTCCCTGGGCCACATGCATGAGAGTCCGAAGAAACATTTTCACATTGAGCACCTCACTTTCTGCTCCTGTCGTCAGCTAGCTGACGCCGTCTCTAAACGGTCAACGACATGTACTGGCGGTGATGCACTCGATGCAAAAGCTGTCTGTGCCTGCGGCACAGCAGTACCGGACGCAGAACGAGAAGCTGCACACATGACAAATGCTGGTGTACATAACAAAAGTAACCCAAGCAGAACTTCTTCTTCGATGCTTTTCTCAATGTTGCAATGGCATCAGGGAACTCACCATGACGGTGATGATGATGATGATGATCATCAGCCGTCGCCGGGATCACCCGGAGAACCAACAGGCCGGCAAGGCATCCACCTTGACAATGTAGTCCCCGGGACGGACCTGCCAGGACACATCTCTGCATTCCTGCCATCCTGGACCGGAGCCGTGCATTCAGAGCTATCTCAACACTCTGCACCTGCACCGATTGGGGAATATCGGGGATTTGGACTGATCAACCTGTCAGAAGCACACGTGCTTTGGATCGAAGGCTCAGGTTGCCACGGCGAAGCATGGGTTAGCACGGTTCCATGCAGCGACCTGCATCGATTGACAGCGGAGTGCCATGTATGCATGCGGCTTCCACCTCTGAGACCAAGGCCAGACCATCCCCAACGTACTCAACGCGTAGCCTGGCAAGCATGGAGCTGCAAAAAGTAGCTGAGTAGCTTCTTCGCGGCTGAATCTTCCCGCCTGTAGCCCTCCATCTCTGGCACCACATCCACCACCAGCTTTTCAAGCTGAACGGCCTGTCATGTGTATTTGCCGAGAGGACCATGGAATGACCCTTGCCTGAACTCACAACCACACCCCGAGGTGCCGAAGCAATAGCACTCAAAGCCGCTTGGCATGCTCTCCTGAGGACTAATTGGCCCAGCATGGCGCCGATGGCTCTTTGGAGGAACCTGCAGTGGCTCTCAAGTGTGGCGATGTGCAGGCAAGCATCTAAGATTCTAAGCCTCTCCGGGTCTCCCTCGCGGCAGGATTCGGGCTTCGTGACTGGAAGCGACGAAGTCAAAATACAAAGAACCTCTAATTACACAAACCAAGACCACGCACAGTTCAGGCCCTCAGTCTACTACCCGATACCTCGGTGACACGGAACGCAAGTTTGGCCACACACTCAGCAACGACTCCCTCCGTCCCTTCTCCTCGCCCTGGAGCAACCCAACAGGGACAACCGAGCAAGAGCTTGACGAGCGTTTCGAAATAGGCTTGGGGGGCATGCTACACTCTGCCTTTTCGGCGGTCGGCAAGGAATGCTGCTACCTTTTGAGGCTCCGCCGCTTCCTATACCTTTCTCGTGTCGGGCATCGGTGTTCAAGGACTCAGAGGGAATACTTTCGAAAAGGATTGTGCATGAGGAATTATATCTATAATCGCCAACGACCACCCCTACAAGCAAGTCATCTAGCCTGCCAAGTAGAAGTGGTTATCGCTCCATTACAAAAGTGATTGAGACCGAGATTGAGCCACACGGGGCCTTGTTGCCTCCATTATCATTGCCGACATTTCAGGCAACCGAAGCCCTAAACTCTGCCATGCGCCGTTGTCTGCCCCTTAAGTTGTCGAGGCTTCGGCAAACTGCGACTTTCGCACGGTGACAGTGTACTCGTAGGAACCTTGCTGCGATTTTCGTGGAGCTAAAGGTCCAATCGGTCTTGGGGTTTGCGGGTTAAGATTTAAGGTCTAGGAGACCCATCATCCTCAACCTTTGCTGCCGCATTCTGCGGAATCCATCGTCACATTCGTCACGTGCACCCAGAGCATCCAATCTCGAACATAAGCGTTCAACTTGGTGTGTCAGGTACTGGCAACCACGACAGTTGAAATGGGGTTTATCTGCATTCAGCAGCTCTCAATCACAATTCAACTATTGAAAGACTGCTAGGGCCTAAAGAAGCCGAACACCTCTTTTCCAGCCGCAGGTGTTCTTTTAACAAAAGGGCCAGCCCGTGGCAT